CTTTCTAAGGCCCTCTGTTGTGCTTCAGACTGTTTAATTTTTGCTGCTTCTGCCTGGTTGCTCAGCATGGCTGAGGCAGTTGGCTTTCTTTTGTCCCTGGTAAGCCTCTCTCCCAAACAGAAGAATCACAGTGTTGGAAGGATGTTTGACTGCCTTAATAGGGGCTGACTAGCATGTCTGCAAATTGCCAGCTTATCTGCCCTGTAGTGACTGAAACAACCTGCCCTATTTTAAGCTTAGATCTTAGTGCCTTAAAAGATGCTTGTTCTAGCCTTTAACTCAGACTTGAATTTATTTGTAAACTTAAAGGGCTAAATTTATCAAGGTTTGGCTGTCCCTCCAGAGACTGAGCAAGGTATGACTATTGTCCCTCACACCATGGACCAAAATTTCGTTCAAACTCTAGGAAGCATGGCTGTGGTGCTTATATCTCTAAGCCATGTACTCTTGTCCAAACATTTTATATTCTCCCTTTGCTCTCTGTGCCATATACATGGGGTAAGAAAAAGGGCTCTGAAGAAGTCTTACAATCACCATTTTTCCTATTGTCCTTGATCTTTATCCTGACACTTTTGCAAGCTCTGCATACCTGGTGTATCTGATCAGCAGCTTAGATTGCAGGGTCTTCTTCTCATCTCTTACTGTGCAACTAGAATAACACAATTTCTACATGCTCTGAGACCAGCTGCACAGGAGAACAACTTGCTGTTTCTCCTTGACGTCATGCATTCACTGTTTTCATTTAAAATTTGCTGGATAAAGAGGTTGTCTGGATGCTGGCTGCTTCCACAGGAAACTGGCTTGCCAAGGGCACTTCTTGGATTCAAGAGACACAGCTGTGGGCAAGGAACTTTTGGAGCATCTTAAGAATTGTTTTGTAACCCAGGCGTGCTAGAGATTGGCCAGTATCGATGACTGCGCTGCCTAGCTTAATTCCTAACCAGTGCTGCATGGGACACTTGCTACTGTTTGTTCTTTAATGTCCTGATTACTGGTGTGCTTATTGCTTTCACTTGAGAGACTGACTTGGAGAGGCTTCCATTTTGCCCACCTCCTTCTTCCTCTGGACAATGATGAGAAACATCACACTTGGAGCAAATACTCCTAGCTGGCTGTCTGATCCGGTTGCTGGTCAACCAAAGGCTACTACAAAGAGTGCTCATTTTCCTATGGTTTCTTGGGCTTATTTCTAGTTCCTGTGCATGGAAATAAAGGAGGACTCACTAGCTTCTTCAATTGACTTTGTTTCAGAACTGGAGGCCTACTTTTTGAAGACCGGCAATTGACGGCTGGCACAACAAAACCAGTATCAGTCTTGATTCTGGTTCTCAGCCACTGGCTGTGGATAGTTTTTATTCTCATTTAATGATATGCTGAGAACTTTATGAACCCCCCCTTTTATGATGAGCTAGTATTTTTATTACTTAAGAAGAGCTTAGGATGACTGCAATGACAGAAAATAATATGGTGCTCCTTCTTCCAAAACTATAATCCTGTTTTGACTTTAGCATTGCCCTCTGGTAGCTTTTAGCAGATACCTAGTGCCCTGCGGATTCTACCCTTGGTAGCTGAATTGGTGGCTTGGAATTTGACTCTCTCCATATGTTTTCAGTAGATCCATACATCATGCAGAACAAATTCTTCCTGTCATCTCAACTCAGGCCAAATGTCCAGGTTTCAGGGAAGAGCTGTCCTTTTCTCAATCAGGAGTAGAGGCTACTGAGACATCAGTTGAGACCCCAAGATGGTAGCATGGGAGAGTTAATTTTCCTTTGCATTCAGTTGTATATAAGCCAACATATGTCCAGCAAGTTCTCCCAAGAACAAGAACACCCTCACACAGCAAGAAAGCCCAGATGACTCTGTGTAACTGTACCAGCTGTTGAAGTTTGCTGCTGTGGTATGACCACACTAACTGGAGAGGTTGTGCTTTTTTATCTAAATCCTATGAAGGAGCCCTCCATCTTTTTTTGTTTCTATAGTCACCTTAATTGAGCTAGGATGACTAATTGTAGATTATGTGAACACAATTTGTGCTGTGTGAAATCTGAAGTTTTATCTTTATCATACTTGAGCTCCTCTTCAATCACTTTGTTCATATTTATAGAAACATTAAACAAAACCCTTTAGGGAAAATTGATTGTATCTCTGTCTTAATTCTGTATCTTCTTAAATTGCAACAGAAGTAGATTAGGTTAAGCAGCAGGGAAGCAGAAATGGTACGAGGTTTACTGGTCCACAGGCCATTGCAGTTCATAAAACATCAGTTGGTGGGCTGTGAAATAATGACAAAGAAAATTTATATATGCATGCTTCACAACTGCAAGCTGACAGAAAAGTGGGAAGGAAATAGGCTCTGATTTGAATACTTATTTCTGTTTTTAATTGGCTATAAATGAAAGCCATTGTGACAGCACTGCACAATACTACGTGGACTTTAGGGTCTGTGACTTTTTAAAAGAGAGAGAGAGAATTGAGCAGCTTGAGTACTGCATACAAAAAGAAATAACAGTAGGAAATAGCCTAGCCTCATTCTTCCTACATTGCAATTTATTCATGCTTAGTTTTTCAGTCATTCCAAAGTGCTGATGTTTGTAGGTCAGCCCATTTTTAATGAAAAAAAACAAAACAACAACTTAATATGTTTCACATATGGGAGTTATTGCCATTCTAGACTTTTGTTCATTCTGTCAGGCAATTGAAGGAATATACCTTGCCTCCAAGAATGAATTTTCTGTCTCAGATAAAGTGCCCTGATAGCCACTGGAGTTACCTAACTTAAAATAATAATATAATGGGTAAATGAACATGTCACATGGGGCAGATAGGGGCACCCATGCTGCTCCTGTCAGCTGCTTTCCACCTTAAGCCAGAGATTCATAAGAAAGATTAAAAAATCATGTAATTTTTCTTTGATTAAAGAAGGTCTTTCAATATCTGGCTTTCTTGCTTATTTGCAGAGCACCCTGCCATTCTGGAATGTCATTCCAGGAATGGAGGGCAAGGGCTGCTTCTTGTGCAATCATTGATGTGGTCTTGCAAGTCCTGTTTGGCAGTATAAAGTGCTGAAATGCCCAGTTGCTATCTCTGGGACTGTGTTCATTATAGCACTGGCTAAAGTTAGACTGACTTCGGTGGGAGGGAAGTTACCTTGTGTAATAACAACCACAACGCAAAGCTCTTCAGAGGTACGTGTTACTACACAGGGTAGCTAACTCCCCTCTCTGTTACTACCTCCAGTAGCACATTAGTTTAAAACACCTGTTTAATATGGTTAGAGCCTTCCACTTGTTGACGTGGCATAGGAGAGAGATGACACTTGAGGTTCTATTAAATTAACCCCCACAAGTAACGACTGCTCGTTGGTATTTCTGCTAAGTTTAATGCCTATAATGTGCCTTGTGCTGGTCTTCTGAATATTATTCCAGCTGTAAAAGCAGATGGCAAATGTGTAGATTCTCTTCAATGACTGTCACATGTATAATTAAAATATAAGAGAACTTTCAACCAGTTGCTCTTGTATGTTTTCCTACAGGATAAATTGCTTTCTGATGTTTGCACCAGAAGTGGAACTGAAAATTCTCTGTTCTTACTTTTGGAATTAACCTTGTTATATCTTAGTAAGAATGCTCTGTTGTTATTTTTTGGACAAGAATGGAAAATTACTTGCTTGCGTGGGTATGTTGTTGTTGTTGTTTTAATTCTAGGAGACGCTTTTCTTAAGAGAGAAGATAATTTTAATAAATACCAAGAGAGTGCAAAAATGCCTGGGAAACCCTCTTTAATGATGTGACCCATTGTAGCAATGACTGGTTTGGCTGCCACATCTGTAAAATGAGAACACTTACCGTTTGGTTTTAAATTACTCTGAGCTCCATGAGAATAAAAGTCTTCTAGAAATGTTGTTTGCTTGATAAATGAACACATGGGTTGAGCTTTTCACACTTTCTATATGTGATGGTCACCTAATAAATAAGTGCCTGACATAAGAATGGGGGTCTGTTGGGTCTCACACAGTAAGTTTAATTTATGCCTCACTGCCCTTAGCTAATGCCTGTTGTAGCTCAGTGTTGCAGCCTTTCTGTCTTGTTCCCCTGCTGCTCTGTGGTTGCATGTGCCAAATACAGATGACTGGCCTGACTGAAGACCCAACAGGCGCTTGGAACTTGAGCTATAGGAAAACACAAACTACAGTGGCAATGCAGCCAGTTTCTCACTGGGACCAGGTCCCCAGGGAGCCTGGGGAGGAGTTATCATAGAATCGTAGAATTGTTTGCATTGGAAGGGACCTTTAAAGATCATCTCATCTACCCTGCCCCTGCCTTGGGTAGGAACATCTTTCTCTAGATCAGGTTGCTCAAAGCCCCATCCAACCTGGTCTTGAACACTTCCAAGGACAAGGGTCTCTACAACTTCTCTAGGCAACCTGTTCCAGGATCTCACCACCCTCATCATGAAGAATGCTTCCTTATCTCCAAGCTAAATCTACCGTCTTTCAGTT